TCATCATATCTGTCTGGAGGCAACAAAAAAAGACACACACGCATTTAGAAATTGTTAGTCCTGTCGGTTTTTCAAGTATTTAATATTCAAACAGGGTTTTTTTTCTTGTGACAGTGTCCCGCTACAGATGATTTCTGACGCAACTTGTTTTCTCTGATCGTGGTTTGTCAGCTGATTCTGTTATTTCCTTGTCAATTTGACATGCAAACCATATCCTCATCCTAAATTTGTTTAGAAAAAAAATACAAATTTGATTTAAAATTGAGCCTTGGATTTTTTAAAGAAGGATTTATTTTGGTAGAACCCAAAAAATCTACAGGACTACCAGAGATTACATGGAAAGTGCTTTCTGTATGTGGGCAATGTGTCTAATATCTGTAAGATCGTATATAACAGATAAATAATTTCTGTCATAATTTGCATTTGGGGTAAATTTCTATCACATTAGTACATTGCAATGAAGGGTCAGAGGAAGACTTGTTTGCTATAACTTACTATAGCAGAATGTTAGCTGTGTGTACCTAATTCAGAATGCAACTAAAGATTTTCATTTATCTGGTGTCAAACTATTTTAACTTGTGTCTATGAGCTATTAAAAAATGCCTGTGTTTTTTATTTTAAAAAAGGACTTAAAAACTTATAAACAGTAAAGCAACTGGTAGAAAGAAACAGAGAGTATTCTAACCTGATAGAGGTTTATCAAGTACCTGGTGATTCCATTGTATGTGTTTTAGAAGAATTAGTTTGGAAGTAAAATACATTAGTTTAAATATAAGGAAGGTGTTTGTACTTTTCTCAATTGAACTTGATCTCAGAGTATTTGTTCTGGGTCAGTATCTCTTTCTGAAACATATTTGCAGTATTTAAAATCAAAACCCATGAATATCATTTTTTTGTGTGTCGTTATTTCCAATTTGAAGGTCAAATATTCTGTGTCATACTGTGAATTTGCACCCTATCTAACATTGCTTAAAATAATTGCCCATGCCTTTTTTTAGATGACACGTTGGTCAGTTTTGTCTTTGTTTATGTTTCAGAATTACTGAAAGCTGAAACAGGAAGCGGAATCGTCGTGTTTACCGAACATGATGTACTGTACTCAGTATAGTGGTAAATTGCTAATCCAAAACCCTCAGTAGTCCAGTAACAGTTCTGCACAGTCTGTGTGTGTGTGTGCGCGCTGCGTGTGTGCGCACCCTTCCTTCCCTGTGCACATTGTGACTTGACCACGCTTCAGCCCGCTGTCAGAAGCAGATTTTTTTTGCGACAACTGCAGTTGGATTATTCAGCCACAAGTGTGTGTGAAAATAGTGCAATCTAAACCACCAACAATTCCTATTGAGCTGATGTCTTTAGAGAGCTTTTCTCACTGCAAATGGCAACATGCTTGTCTCAATAACCATAATATTTAAACATTCCACTTTGGGTACTTGAAATTAATATCTATTTACAGTGATGGTCTCCCCTCTCCTTTATAGAGTCGCTGTAATAATAATAATAAGCCTTGCATTTGATATAGCACCTTATCACACCTTCGAGACATTTCAAAGCGCGTCACAGAATATACTGTAAAGTTAATTGACTGTATATTTTGTGGGCGAAACGCAGCAACAGTAGCCAGATATGGTTATTGAATTGAATATTTAAAAAATATATATTGAAAGTAGCATTTGCTGTGAATGGTGAAGGGTGTTGTGGAAGTATCCTTTTACATTCTTACTCATTTGGCTTTCCATCTGTCTGTTGTGGGCAGTCAGTGAGTCTATGTGCTATCTGCTGTTAGTGACCCAGACTGAAAGCTGTAGTACCCCGCCATATGTTAATGTGAAGCTGTGTGTCTGCACATCTGTCGTGAAATGGCTGTATAACCAGCTATTATACCTGCAGGTGCAGTATTACTGACACAGTAGTATTATTTGTATTATTGACAAGGTAGCAGTATTATTTACGTGGTGAAGAGCCAGTAGCACTTACCACTATTAGCATCATTATTTATACCCTTGATTAGACTAGGTTTATTTTTAAGAAACAACATAATTAAAATTGTTTCACTAATGCATTACCACTAGTGTTTTCTGACATTACACAAAGTAATAAGGTGGTCTAATACCTTTTCTTCATTTCCCCTGGTCACTGACTGGGACCCTGTGTGGGTCACTGACTGGGACCCTGTGTGGGTCACTGACTGGGCCCTGTGTGGGTCACTGACTGGGGCCCTGTGTGGGTCACTGACTGGGCCCTGTGTGGGTCACTGACTGGGGCCCTGTGTGGGTCACTGACTGGGACCTGTGTGGGTCACTGACTGGGACCTGTGTGGGTCTCTGACTGGGACCTATGTGGGTCTCTGACTGGGACCTGTGTGGGTCACTGACTGGGAGGCTGTGTGGGTCACTGACTGGGAGGCTGTGTGGGTCACTGACTGGGACCTGTGTGGGTCACTGACTGGGAGGCTGTGTGGGTCACTGACTGGGAGGCTGTGTGGGTCACTGACTGGGAGGCTGTGTGGGTCACTGACATACCTGACTTCAGACTTTACGAAGATGGGAGTAGGGTAGAGATGATGTAAGGGCTCTGTTCCTCTTATGCTCCTTTCCATTCTGAGGCACCTTGACCCTCACTTTAGCAACTGCTGCAAAGAGTTTGTAAATGTAGGCTATGTCTAACATGCTTGTGGGCTTCTGCTGCATTGGGTTCCTAAATGAACATAAGAAAACAGGAACAACAGGCCATTCAGTCCATCAATAACCTGTACCATCAGTTTAATAGAATTTATCAGGTCTTTTAATCCCAAATCCCTGTCCTTTTGCCATACATCTTAATAATAATAATAATAATAATAGTCCTTTCATTTGATATAACGCCTTATCACATCTTTGAGGTGTCCCTAAATGCTTCACAGAATATACTGTAAAGTGAATTGACTATATTTTGTGGGCGAAACACAGCATCCAATTGTGTATAGCAGTGTCGCACAAACAATTATGGATTGAGTGACCAAATTATTTGTTTTTGAAGGAATTATTACCCCCAGAAAAGCGATCCACCAATCGACCAACAGCTGGGTTCCTACTTACTGCTAGGTAAAACAGAGGCGTGTGAAGTAAGGAAATTTGCCCAACATTTTGCCCTGCCGGGAATCAAACCCAGGTTCGAAGTGAGTGCTCTAACCACTAAGCTACCGGACTTAATACCTCTACTACCCAAGCAACTGGCAATCTCTTTTTTAAACAACCCTGTTAATTCCACCTCTACAGCTCTGGATTGCTGTTGGTGCTCATGTCTTTGTGACAGTGCACCTCAATGTGCGGTGTATGCTTCCTGAACTAATGATAGTCTGTGAGCTCAAAGTCCCAAATTGGGGCTTGAACCCACAATCTTCTAACCCAGAGATGAGAGTGCTACCAACTGACACAAAATGCATCTGATCTCCATTATCGTAGCATGCGACTACCAGGATGGTAGACGGTGGACTAGATGGACCTTGGTCTTTTTGCATCTTGCAATTCCTATGTTTCCATGTTCCTGTGTTGTGGGCCCCTTGCCTAGCCAAGAGTTGCCTCTGAGGTTAATCTCATACAGGTTGACTCCTTGGGACTGTGACTGATATAAAGGCAATTTTTTAAATTCATGACCACCATTAAGGTTTTTAATATCGATCAAGAGTTGATGGGAACAGCGTCTCTTCATTGTAACTTCAAACATTAGCTGCCATCCTGGCACTGGGGGGAGCATGCACAGAACTTTGGTTGCTTAGCCCAGGCCATGATGAACAATGAGCAGCAAGCAGGATTACTCCAAGCTGTTAACTCATATAATAATAATAATCAATCTTCCTTGTGTGTCTGAGGCATAATTGGGCCTTGAGTGAGGCCATCAATTAGTGCCAAATTGTGGGCAGTTTTGTGGTATGCTCTGTGCCCAATAGGAACTAGGTTGAGGCTGCCCAAGCTAATTCCAGAAAGCACTCTAACACTTGAGAGGTTTTCATCCCATCAATCTGAGCTCGAAACCAAGCTCCAGAAGTGAAAAAAACTCAGCATATTAGCCCACCACACTATCAGTTCCTCTCGCTTTTGTCTTCTTATTCGTGCAACTGCTTGTAGCATCTCTATTCTGTTGTAGCAATAGGTGACCTGCTACTGGTTGGTATGATTACTGATCTTGAGTTTGTGTGAGTATATTGGAGGGCAGGGAAGGAAAGAAATCCAACTATAAGTGCAATAGCCAAGGTCAGTGTATTCACTCCCCCCTACCCCCGCACTGATCATCGAAGTTCAAACTTGGTTTAATACAGCTGCTGATGTGCCAGATGTTTTCCTGAAATAAACCACCTGTGCAGGAAGAAGAATTTGTTAAAATGTTTCATTTTTGGCTCGCTCAATGCCCAAGTGGGTAAAGGCACCGTGTGCTGTGGCATTAATAATAATCCTTGCATTTGATGCAGCACCTTATCACATCTTCTAAATGGCTCAAAGTGCTTCACAGAATATCCTGTAAAGTGAATTGACTATGTTTTGTGGGCAAAACATGGCAGCCAATTGTGCACAGCAGTGTCCCACAAAAAATAGTTGTGGATTAAGTGACCAAATTGTTTTTTTTAAGGTATTGTTACCACCAGAAAAGCGATCTGCCAATCCACTAACAACTGGGTTCCTACTCACTGCTAGTTAAACAGAGGGGTATGGAGTGAGGAAACTTGCTCAACATTTCGCCCTGCTGGGAATCAAACCCAAGTCCTCTCATATGCAAGGCGAGTGCTCTCTCCACTAAGCTACAGGACTCCACAAGCCATAGATCTAGACCAGGATGTTCCAAGTTCACTTCTGGTACGCTCTGAGTTACCTCATCTGAGTGTGGGGGGTGAGGCGGGATGGACAGATGGACAATCGGACATTTTTCACTGTTATTAATGTGAGCTTGGGCCACATTCGATCTCACACTGGAATGTATTTTTCATACCACAGGTGTTAATCATCATTCCAGTGAGTTCCAAGCCTCCTCCTCAGTTCTGTCTTCACTCTCTTGGTCTGCTGACAGTGTGCTGGGAATAACGTTACTGGTAATATTCTATTTCTGTGTATAAATGTGATTTGATAATTCCTTGCCTGTAATAGCTACCAACAATCCTCATGCCCAGGGCAATGAAGATTGCTCAAGCAATGGAGCAGTTCTGTTAAGAATGGAACCTGTTCAGGATTATTTCTGTTCATTGCAGGGTGAAATACCTGGATTCATAGCCATTCTGTACAACCTGAGGCTCTAAATTTCCTTTTATATGCTTATCTTAGCCTGAAGTTTAAGATTTAAGTTTTGGACAATCCTTAAATTCCAACTTAATTATGAAGCCAGTTTTTACTGAAGAAAACTAAATTGAGGTGAAAGAATCCAGGCCTTGGATGTCACAAATGCACTGCTTATATTGTGCCACCTGCGGATATTTAAAGGCCATCTGGAGAACACATGAATTAATCCATAATTTCAAAAATTCCTTGGATTTGACATAGCATCTTTCATGTCAGGATGATGTCTCAATGTGCTTTACTGGATATATTGCAAAGTGTAGTGACTGCGTTTTGTGGGCAGACGCGGTATCCAATTTGCACACAACAGTGTCTCATAAACAGCCATGAAATGAATGACCCTTACCCGATTTAATTTATTTGGGGAATTGTTGCCCAGGACACCGGGAGAAGTCCCTTCCCTTTTTAAATTGTGCCATGATATCTTTGACGTCCACTTGGACAGCCAGACAGGACCTCAGTTTAAGCTACAACCTTCTGACCCAGAGGAGAGAGTGCTACCAACTGAGCTGGGCTGACACCCAATTTACACCTGGTGCAGTTTCCTGCTGCAGTGTCGATCAGTGTGATGCTGAAGCCACTTTCTCAGGGTGGTTAGAGTTTAGAGTGGTCCTTGCAAATCAGCACACAAGGTGAAGTGTAAAGTGAGCATTAACAACCTTTTAACAAAAAATTTTTAATTTTGTGAATTCAACATAGGAACCTCTGAAACAACACCCAAAAGAGGGGGATGGGGTTTAAAATAAGAGATTAGAATCTTATGAACTCAGCAACTAATACCCAAATATTATTTTCAAGAAATTAGATATAACTTTTAATACAAAACAAAGTATTGACTTGTGAAGAGCTTTGAGAAATGTTGATGTTCTGAAAATTATGTTTTTTTTGTTTAGCCCATGTAATATAAAAAACATACAATATGATGACAGCGTCTTTAGAGATAGCATTAGTCTGTTGGGGAAGGACATTTTGAATGTTGTTATCACTCTTTAGGTTTCTATGTGTCAAGTACAGTCCCCAGATTGAGAAGTGACAGATAAGCTGCTCCCGGGCCTCTGGCAAACTTGCTCTTGACCCAGTCCCAAATAATTGGTTTGGGGAAAGGGGAGAGGTTATGTATGTTCTGAATTTTTGCCTCTTACCTCTTAATTTATGTCTGCATGGTTCGCCGCCCGCATCCTATGATTATGTGTCGCTGAATCTGAGCTCACTGGCCACTGCACAATCTACTTCACAATCATTTCGTATTAAACTTCTGGTCCACTTGACCATACCACAATAACCTCTGTGAAAGATTTAATTGCCGTTGTTCATGTATGACAAAAAAAGGAAGGGTAACACTGCTGAGTATTCTTGCCATGCTTTAGGAATACTCTTTGTTTAATATGTACCGAACAAACTAGTGACACCTATTGTCAGAAAGTGGTTTGTACTCCATCTTAGTTGTTTCATTTTTGAATGTTAATATAAAAAATTAAAATAGATAAAGTGCATCACCTCCAAGGGTCAACTTATTACAGGAAGAAGAAAATACCTTCCTTAAGAAGAGCTCTACTTTTTTTTAGAAAACAATAAAGATGATAAAGCGGGGAAGAATGTGTTCACCCAACAATGGAGGCCTAGAGACAATCCCCATAATAGGCTCAATGGCAGATTTCCTCCTCAGTTTTCTTCTGTCACTCACTGTTGCTATTGGATGCATGTTCTCACTTTAGCTGTTTAAGATCTTCAGCTTTTCTCATGACTCTTCAAGTTTATTTGCCCAGGTCTCCCTCAGGTGAGTTGTTTGTTGTCCCTTGTTGGTCTGCTTGATACTGCTACATTTGAGGCCAGTGATCAATGTGAATGTTGTCATACAAGGTTTTGAGCAGGTAGAATACACTATCTCAGAAAGCTGTATATGCAGAATCTATTGGGATGTTTGTAATGCAAGTACAGTGGAGCCTCATTAAAATGCATTGGTTAAGATCTATAACAATACATTTCAGACCGGGAAACTAAAATGATCAACTTGCAGGACATCAGGTCACTGCCAACACCACTTCTTGTGTTACTCTAGTCCTTTTAACTCAAACATGAAATGAGTGGTGTACTCCTTAGCTTCCTCAATATTGCTCGCAGAGCCTGGAATACATGCAAAGTCATTTCAAGAGTCCACCACGTTGCCAGAGTATTGAGCAAACACAGGGATCACAACATTGCAATTAGCCACCAAGTGACCAAACATATTGAAGAAAAAATTCACCTGCTCATGACATCTTTTCTACAGTATCTGAATGTAAGGCCACAACATCCAGAATCCTCTCAAGTTCCAGCAATACTGAAGACTAATTCTATAGTGTAGTAGAGTATAATTTCTTGAGTCCAGAAACTTCATCTATCATCAGTGGTAGCCTGTTAGTGCAATTTGTATAGACCTATCCCTTCTCAGTAAATTAGAAAATGTGCAAAAAAGATTGAGGAAGTTCTGATGGGAGTTGATGTAACAACTGCACGCAGAAGTTACCTTTATCTAGAACAGATATTTATGGGTGAAAGTGGAATAACTGGAAAAAGAATGTTTTACGTACAGGATGTTTATTGTCTGTCATTCCTACTGTGCAATCCACCTATTGGGCCCTTCCACAGCAGCCTGTAGCATGATTACACCAACAAATATCATCCACAAATCAGCGGTGGTCGAAAAAGAACAGAATTTATAGAATAAACTAACCACACACATTAATGAGATCCATTTATGGTTTTTATACTATTATGCCACCAAACAAAGTTTTTTTAAGACTGTTTAGCATTAGTTTACTCTCTAAATAGCATCATTAACACTAAAAAAATCTCAACAAAGCAGTGAGGCGCACCAAGACAGGACTTTGACCTCAGATTTTCTTATCCCCTTCCCTCCAGCATTGAGAGGCCACCACTCAGCGCAGAACAGGAACTGAACAGAAATGTAGCCCATATTATTTATTTGTGGTCCAAAAAAAAATTAGATAACTGAATTAAAATGTTTTGTGTGTAGTCTTTTCTTTAATTGTTTAATTTGAATGCAGCATTCAAGTTGAGATTTTATCTCCTAATTCTGGCAGCAAGCAATATAGCATTGTCTGGCATTGATAATCAGCCCAAACAAGTTTAGGGCAGGGCATCTTAATGTTAACTGAAAATTAATCTTTGAAGCCCATTCTCAGTGTTCAGATGAAATTAAAAATGTAACGTGAATGATTAAAGAATGGAAGAGTACTTCACTAAGAAGCATTCATCCTTTACTTTATCCATTATTTCTTATAAAATAACGCATCGATTTCAAGATCCTCACACTCGTTTTCAAATCCCTTCATGCCCTAGCATCTCCCTGCCTCTCCAACCTGCTTACCCCACAACTCATAACCCACTGCTCTGGCCTTCTGCATGTCCCTCGTTCCCTCCGTTTCACCATTGGTGGCCGCACTTTCACCCACTATGCCCCGAAACTCTGTAAGACTCTTCCTCTATCCCTCCACCTTGCCCTTCCTTCCTGTCTTCAGGTCATGCCTGATGACCTTCCTCTGTGACCATGCCTACGGTCAACTCCTCCGCCCCGGCTCAGCGTCATGCTCCACCCTGTCAAGCACTCTGGGATACTGCCCTGCGTGAGGGGAACTATATAAATGCAAGTTGTTGTTGTTCTTGCATCAAGCTGCTTTTTAGTGAGGCTCCTGATCTCAATCATCTCACCCAGAACCTGTGCCAGTTGTTAATTACCCACTGAGCAAAGAAATCTTCCTGGTAACTGCCCTGAAATTGACCTTTACTATTCTATACCTTCTTGTTCCAAAGTCTCGATGCATCCTAAATTATTGATCTGCGTTTACTTTTTCAATGCCACGTAAAGTTTTGTACACCTCTATGAGGTCCTCTCTGAGTCGTCTTCTTTCAAGACGAAGAGCCCTAGCTTGTCTAGTCATTGCCCATAGCTCATTCCTCTAAGACTGGGGATCAGTGTTATTTTCCCCCACATAATATACAGTCAATTCACTTTTTAGTATGTTCAGTGAAGTGCTTTGAGATGTCTCAAAGATGTGTTAAGGTGCTACATTAAATGCAAGGATCATTATTATCAACCTCATGGTTCTCCTCTGCACTAACTCTAGGGCCTGGGGAGCTCACTTATGTCTTGATGACCAGAGCTGTCTGCAGTATTCAAGGTACAGCTTGAGTATGATTCTGGTGATCTAAACGCAACTGATTCAACAATATAGCCCAGCATTCCATTTGCCTCGTTTACTGCTACCTCACACTGTTTTGATATGGTGAGCGATTCATATGAACACCCCTAGATCTCTTTCACCTGGCAAGTTCATTCATATTCTAGATATTCTACATCATATGGCTTCCTATAGTCGAGTTGGGCCGTACCTCTTCAAATGAGTCTGAGATTGGCCAGACAGGACTTACCCTTTCCGAACCTGTGTTGGCTATCTTTTATTAGATTATTTTATATGGCTAACTTTCCACTTCCTTTCTCATGATTAACTCCATAATTTGTCCTATTGCTGAGGTCAGGCTAATGGGTCTATAGTTGCCAGCTTTAGTTTTGTCGCCCTTCTTAAATATGGGAACAATATCTGCTTGCTTCCAGTTTGTTGGAACTTCCCCAGTCCTGATTGACTCCCTCATAATATCTGTCAGTGCACGACAAAGCTATGTGGAGTCCTGTAGCTCAGTGGTTAGAGCGCTCGCTTTGCAAGGGAGAGACCTGAGTTCAGTTCCAGGCAGGGCGAAA